GCCAGCCCCGCAGGCCGCGCCGCCGGTGCCTGGTGGGTCTCCGCGCCGGGTCATCGTGCAGGCGTCCACCGGCGAGCTGCTGCGCTGCCTGGGCGACTTCGTGTGCCGGCGCTGCTACCGCCTCAAGGAGCTGAGCCCGGGCGAGCTGGTGGGCTGGTTCCGTGGAGTGGACCGCTCGCTGCTGCTGCAGGGCTGGCAAGACCAGGCCTTCATTACACCCGCCAACCTGGTGTTCGTGTACCTGCTGTGCCGCGAGTCGCTGCGTGGGGACGAGCTGGCGTCGGCCGCCGAGCTGCAGGCCGCCTTCCTCACCTGCCTCTACCTCGCCTACTCCTACATGGGCAACGAGATCTCCTACCCGCTCAAGCCCTTCCTGGTGGAGCCCGACAAGGAGCGCTTCTGGCAACGCTGTCTGCGCCTCATCCAGCGGCTCAGCCCGCAAATGCTGCGGCTCAACGCCGACCCCCACTTCTTCACGCAGGTCTTTCAAGACCTCAAGAACGAGGGCGAGGTCGCCGCCAGCGCCGGGGGTCCACCCAGCGGGGGCGCGCCGGCGGCTCCCAGCTCCTCGTCGTCGTCCGCCAGGGACAGCTGCGCGACCGGAGCCAAGCACTGGACTATGAACCTGGACCGCTAGGGATAGCCAAGGGCCGCGCCCGCCCCCAGCCCCAGCCCCTGACACATACTGGGAGGCCCCAGGCCCGTCAAGCCGCCGCCGCAGTTACCGCCACTCGGAGCCCTGGTCATAGGAGTCGCCGCCCCTGCCCGGCGGGGGAAGGTGGAGGCCAGGACGCCTGAGGCCGTGGTGCTGGATTTGCTGGGCGTAGGGTGCGGGGTGGGGGGATGAACGCGGGAGGAGGACTCCCCAACCTCACCCTTCCTGTCTGTCTGCTCCCTCCTGTCTCCAGTTCTGTCCGGGTTTCTCCCTTCCCTCCTACACAGGAGAAATATCTGGAAAAATATCGCCCCTCGGTTTTGTCCACTTCTTCACCTTCTCCCTGTATCTTTATCTTCCCTCTTGTCGGCTTTCCCTCTCTACCTTTTCCTTTTCCTTTTCCCTCCCTTGGGCGTGTGTTTCCATCTCCATCTTACCTTTCACCTGGCGTTCCCTTCTCGCTCCTATTTCTCTTTCTGCACCTGTGTCCCTATTTCCCCTTCTTGTTCTCTTTCCCCCTCGCTCCCGTCCTGTGTCACCATCTTCCCTGCTGGCTTCATTACCCTCCTCTGCCTAAGTCAGCTTGCCGTTCTTCCCCTGACGGATTCCCCAAGCCCCTCTTCCCAGACCAAAGGGAACAAAAGTCCTTAATTTGGATTGACTGAGCCCCAGGAGCCCCGACAACCATCAGGATGGTCTTTTGCCCCACCCCCACGGCCTCTCCCTACCTTTTCCAACGTGTTGCATGCTGGGAGCTGGGGGGGAGGGGGATGCCGGCTTCAGGAGGTTGAAGTTTGGGAGCCAAAGCAACCTAAGAGGCCACCCTGGCGGCAGCGGCGGAGGCGCTTCGGTAAAAGGGTAAAAGGGTGGAAAGAGAAAACTCTTCTGCCGGGGGTGTGTGTGTGAAGGAGCACTCCTCTTCTTTACTTGTGGGGTTTATTTTTTTTTTTTGTCCTCCCCACCCCCCATCACCACCTTTTAATTTATTTGGTTGTTTCCGAAGGGAGGGTGGGGTGGGGTGGGCCGGGAGCTGTCTGAGGTGCTGATCTGAGGTCGGCCCGGAATCTTCCCGCGAGGGTACCAGGGACTGGGTTGGGCCTGGTGCCGTGTCCAAGGTGCCAATGATGCGGGCCGAACGCGCGGGCCGCACTGTCTGTCCGTCCGTCTGTTCTGGAGAGAACTATAAAGCGCTGGAAGCGTCTGCAGATGGTTTTGCTCCAGCCTTTCTTTGGGCCCCGGGAGAGGGAGGAAGGGAGGGAGCTGGATGAGTGACGCCGGGTCAGTGGGCCCCCATGGACCTAGTGGGGAAGGTGGGGTGCCTGAGAACTATTAGTCTTCCCTCTCCCACCACCACACACCCCCGTTGGTTTCTAGTTTACAGAGAGAAGTGCAGTAGCCAAAAATTAGGCTTGGTAATAAAGCTAAATTCGGCCCCAGTGATCCCCCACTTCCCCACTATCTTGTTTGACCTAGCTCCCCATTAATACCCAGACCATTTAGTGATTAAGTGGTGGGGAAAACAGAAATTGTTCCTTTCTACAGAGTGGTCCAGTAAGGCAGAACTAGTTACTTCTTATTGTTAGTTTTTTCTTCCTCCTCCTTCTCTACTCGCCATATATCTGGTTGTGAGTCCTGTCAGGCCTAAGCCTGTGTTCAGTATTCTCAGGTGGGGCCTGACTGCCACACTCAGCCCTACGTGACCCTTACTTGTTACACTGGGCTGTTTCAAGGCTACTTCAGCTACATGCCCACTCAGGGAAGCCTTGAGAGGTCTATCCTTTCTTGAGATTCACCCCTTCACCTTTATGTTCAGGGACTTTAGGAAATAGGCCACTAAGCAGATAAGAGCCATTCTTTGGGCTTGAAAGAACAGAAACAATCCATTTAGCCTCAGGTCCCTACTCAGTCCTCATTGCCTTCTGAGACACGTGGCTAAGAGGCCCTGTTCACCGTTTCATTGACCCAAAGGGACCTGGTTCTAGCACAGCCCTGATGTCTCTGACCCTGATTGCTACCAAGGTCTCCGTGATCCGGAGAGCCCTTCCAGGCCAGAAAGACAAAGCCTGGGTTTGCTGTCCGTGGTGCTGACGGGTGATCTCCGGCAGGATGAGAGCCTGAAAGGGCTTGGCGTCAGTTAGGTCTTCCGGGATAATTTGGGTGTAGGGTGTGATCTTTTCTGATGGGAGGTTACAGGACTTTGGCCCGAGAACCCAGGACTGCCGGCGTCCACTTGCCTCCCCGGAGTACAAACCCCGACTCTTCCCCAGTCTCAGCCTTTCGCCCTTGTAGCGGTCTTGGAGCCGGAAATCTCCAATCTAGATTTGTGAATCGAGTTCCCAGGGGGAGGAGGGGGAGGAAAACTGGCGGAAGGGAAGGCGGGAGCAGCCGTCCATTGGTTGGAATTTGGCGCAGTCAGCGCGGTGGCGTCATCTCTTTCGGTTTGGGAGGAGAGGGGGGAGGACAAGGGTCAGCTGCGGCTGTCGCCATAGTAACCAGACTGAGGGGGTGGGGCTGCCTCTCCACTCTCCCACTTTAAGCTCGGGAAACAATCCTGGTCTGCCTTGTTTGAAACTAGTTACTGCAGAATACCTGATTGGAATTTCTGCCTTAGAAGAGCAGAAGGGGGCTGGGAAGTGACCAGAGAGACTACAGAGACTGCAAAACATCCTGGTTGGGGGGAACCAATAGCTACTAGGCCTGAAGTCACAGACACAGTACATTCACTGTAGTACACACACACACACACACCTCTCCAGGAAACTGTGACCTGGCACTTGGAGACCTAGAATGAGAAAAAGCCTCTGTGAGTGGTGTTAAATTAATTCTCACTTTCCTTACCATGCCCCAAGATATGAGATGCTGACATAATCGGATTAAGGGGTGAGGGAGGAGGATCAGCACGAATACATGGAAGAATTAGCCTCCTGGGCCAAACTTGGCTAGAATCTTGTTTTTTCCACGAGGGAGCAGTCCTAAAAAGGGATCAGAACAGGCTTCTGAGTAGGCAAGGCGAGAAGGGAATACGTGCAGGAGCAGAGGGAAGGGCCTTCTCTTTACTTCCCTGAAATGAACCTCAAGGAAATGAGTCTAGGTGGAGGAGAGAGGTGGTGCTCTAGAGAGAGCCCAGCAGGGGTGAGGAGTGGACAGAGCAGAGAATGGTGATGAAAGACAGAAACCCCACTGGAGCCGTGACTCAGCAGTTCCCCTCAGCAAAGGGCTGGGCTGACTCTTCCTGCACAGGGACAGTGGAGAGGGGAGGAGAGCAGGAAAGCAAACGGACAGATAAATGTTGATCCAACCCTTTGAATTATACATGCTGACACACACATTCATACATAACCAAAGGCACACATTTTAACCCAGAAGCAGTATGAATATATACATACATATATGCATATATACTGCTGAAGGTTTGTTCAATCATAACATATATACATCTCTATCCCCCATTCCCCTGCCCCTTTCTTCAAGCAGAGGACATTCTGTCCTGAGAGCTATGAAAAAAAAAATGCAGCTGGTGGGGGTTGTCATGGTAACCGCTTTGCCTGCCAGTCAGGGTGCCCAGCAACCAGAGCATCTGGCAGTATCCAAGGGGACATCCCCTTGGATGGCTTCGCCCCACCTGAACTCTGCCTCAGACACCCAGATGGGGGGTCTCTAGAGGATTTCTACAAAAAGGCTGCTAAAGCAGCCCCTCCAACCATGCCACCATGACTAGGGACAGTTGGCAGCCAGGTATGGGGTCCTGACCTTCACATACCTCACTTTAACTGGGTTTCATGATTCCTTTATATATCATAGTATCTGCTGTGAGTGGCCCTGAGACAGCAAGGGTTAGCAGTTTAAGGGTCTTTATTTAGGATCATTACCTTCCCTTTCAGCACCTGGAAACTATCCTACAAGATCATCAATACCCACACAAGCTAGGTGTGTAAATGAGGGTAGAAAAATAGTTTTGTTACCAGAACCCAGCAGCCTCAGAGGTGGGTGCTGGCAGTAGCAATGTTGTTCTTTCACTCTGCTGCTCCAACACAAGTCAGTTGTAGCAATTGCTCCTCAGAGGCTTTTTATGTAACAGTGTACTTCCTGGATCATGGAATGGGCCAATCAAGTACAAGCTATGAGCTCATTGGTGCTAAATGATTCAATCAGTCGCAGGATTGAAAAATGGCCCAATCAAATTTGTGGGCGGGGTACCTTGAAGAGAATATAAGCCAGCTTGGCAGGGATCTGAATGTCTGCTGCAATCCCCAAAGAGGGGAGATGACACCAGCCTCTGAAGGAAAAAGAAAGAAGGTAAAGACTCCGTACCCGGCCTCCAAAGCATTGAGCAGCTGACCTCCAAGGAGGGAAGAGAAGCCTAAGCTCTCTGTCCCTGGGCCTCCCCGTCTGACAGGAGCAAACACCAAGGGCCCTGGGCCTGGTGTCTCAAAGAGCTGTTTGCTGTTGGTGTCGCCCCACAACTCAGAGCTGTTAACACTGGGTGTCTCTGGCACTGCCCCGAGGGACCAGCAGTGACCATCACCACTGGCCAGTGCTGTCCAGCACTCCATCACTGACACTACCTGTGTGAGATACAGTCAGCTCTCTGTTTCCCCCATCTGTCAAATAAGCCCCATGGTTGTTCCTGGAGCCTGAGGCCTCTTGCAACTGTGTGTGTGTGTGAGACCCACAGACAGCAACCGCCCTCTTACTGGGCACTGTCTGTGGTTAGGCTTGAGCCTTCATTTTGGTTTTTGGCCTTGTGGCCTTTTGGGGCTTTTTGTGTCTCTCTGGTCTCAGAGACCAGGCAGGTGGGTGATCCATCCATCTTTCCATCCAGGTTCCTGCTTGTTGTCTGCCTGCCCTGTCCACCCCTGTTTCAGTTTTAGTTCACTGTGATTAAACATTGGGTATAAAACAGATAAAAGTGAAGGAAGTCTTAGGCTTCAAGGTCTTTTGACCTTCGTTTACTACATTGATGAGATTTTTTAGAGGTAGTCTTTCTGTTGTATTTACAAACTCGCTGACTGACTTTCACTCCATCCATCTTCCTCTTTGCCCCCCTCAGTACTCAGGCTTAATTTCTTAGTTTCTGGCTTAAACTTTCCTCAACAAACCTTGAGCTTTCATGGGATTCCTGCGAATCCCCCACCCATTCTTTCCACAATTTTTTTAGCATTAACTCCTCCCAAAGGAGGAGATGTTGCCCTACTATTTGGTTCCAATTTTTAAAACCTATCCCCCCCCATTTCCTTTCACCCTTCAGTTATTGTCTCTCCTGTGATTTATACTTAGCTTTAAGCCCATAAATTATAAAATTAGTCTGTTCATATGCATTTATACAAGACAACCCAAAAGGAAGAAGAGGAGGTGATAAACAGTATAAATAGGGAAAGATATCTATCTTCACATTGCAACCTTTCTACATTTTACTCTTTTTTTTTAAAGATTTATTTATTTGTGCATACAGAACTGGGGTACAGGCCAGAGACTCAGGGGTGGCAAAAGACTTCACCAGAGACAGAGTGGGGAGCAGAACAGGCAGATCGACGAAGTACACTGCTGAGGGGAGCAGCGGGTGGGTCAGGAGAGGTCTGTGCGCCATGTGGTCACCTCCAGGGCAGGCAGGAATCGAACTCATGCGGAAGTGGTTTCAGCTTCTTAGTGCAGTGCTTTAACCCACTGCACCACCAGGGAGGGCCTCTACATTTTACTCTTTTTAAAAGGTCGTTAATGTGGGGCAGAAGTGATGACTTCGGCAGTGGGAGCCTCAGCATTAAGATTCTCTGATTTCAAGGAAGTAATATCCAACATGCCAAATACCCCCTTGGACTCCTCTTGAGAATTCCACCACTAAGACTGCTGTGCTGGTTAGGCCCTGACTCACAAAGGATCCTTGCCTCCTTTGCGATAAAGTCAAAGAAATGCTGAAGCCCTATAAAAACAGGTTTTCTTTTCATTTTTCTTAGAAATCAAACTTGACATCCTAGTCTTATTTGAATGGCCAGTTTCTGATGATGCTTCAACATCTCAAAACTTTAAAAAAGTCTCCAGAAACTTGAGTAAGAAAGTGCTGGAGGTTAAGACTCTCCTGATTTTCTGCCTTCTCTGCCCAAAAGACATCTTTCTAAGGAAATGACCATGGCCCCAGTGTTCCATTTCAGGCAGCCCTAAGAATGTTCTTAATTCCGTGGTGCTAAGTAAATGTTGACATTCCTCAAGT